TTGATCACAGCCAGGCCTCCCTGGTGCCCGGCATATGCGGCCTTGGGCTGTGTCATGCAGACAATTTTCTTTGTCCCTGTCTGGTCCGAGTTCTCTGTGGATAAAACTGGGCATTCTCCATCTTCTTTATCTGCAGTAGCCACACAATCTCAGATGTTTATCTGTGGCTGTGCCATCCCCAGGCAGACACTGGCCATGCCAGACACAGAGCCTTGAAGGCAAATGTCGGGGGTGTGAAGGAGTGGGTGGGACAACTGTGTCCTGAGAGATTATCTCGGAATTTGGTACAGCAGTGCCCCCTTATCCACAGATTCACTTTTCAAGGTTTTAGTTACCTGCCGTCAACTGTACGTAGTCTGAACATATTAAATGGAAAATTCCAGAAATATACAATTCATAAATATTAAATCGTGTGCTGTTCTGAGTAATGTCATGAAATCTCTCACTGTCTCACTCTGTCCTGCCCAGGATGTGAATAATCCTTTTGTCCAGCATCTCCACTCTGCACATGTATCTGCCTGTTATTCACTTGGTAGCTATCCTGGTTTTCAGACCCACTGTCACTGTATCGCAATGCTTGGGTTCAAGGAACCCTTATCTTACTAATAAAGGCCCTGAAGCATGAGAGTAGTGATTCTGACAGCTCAGATATGGCAGAGAGAAGTTGTAAAGTTTCCTTTAAGAGAAAAAGTTTGTATGTACAGGAAAAAATGTAGTGTAAGTAGAGTTCGGTATTATCTGTAGTTTCAGGCATCCATTGGGCATCTGGGAACGTATCCCTGTGGATAAGAGGGAACTTCTGTAGTTTTCAAGACATCCTTCAGGGAGAAGAGGATCAGTTCAGCTTCATCCTTGGATAAGACGACTGGAATGATTCAGAATCAATAGTTTTCGAACGGGGATTTAAAAATCGAATTCTTTTGGAAAACCTTCAGCAGCTCCTGAGCCCATGGGTGCATGCATGTGCTTCTATGTGCCTGTTTCAGAAGACACGGGCTGTCCCAGGCAGATCTTCAAACCCTGCTACTTCCTATAACATATATCTGGCAAGAAGAAGAAAAGAATCAATAAAAAAAAAAAGAGGTGATTTTTCCTTCTCCATGAGATGATGTGGACAGCAAGGCCTGGGTCAGCCTTCTCCCCATTCTGCAGGCTCTTGAGCTCCAAGGGAGACTGAGGCCCTCCAGTATGGTCTAGGAGCCTGTGTGGCAGGACAACGTGCCACACAGAAGCCTCCCTGCCATCCATCTAGTTTGGGGAAATCTAGGGGTGCTGGGTGGGATCTGAGCCTTCCCTCTGCATCCTCTCCTCATTGCCACCTTGTGGGTGGCCCCCATGTCGAGACATGCCTTCTGTGTTTACTTGCAATATCTCCTAAGCGGATTTAGGTCGATTTCTTCTTTGGGGAACGTTGCTCCTCTTGAGCGAGCCTGGGAAGTGTGGCTGTGCTCGGAGTTTTAACAGGAAGGAGGCGGAGGAGCCACTCACTCGGCTGCCCCTGCGCTGCCAGCTGGCCCGGCATCGCCTCCTTCTCCTCAAACACCACATCTTTGGGTTTTTGCACTAGAGAAGAATAAATATTTTTGCACCCTTATCTTTTTAAATGGTCCCTAGAGCTTGAACGAGCAATCTGTATTCCTCGCTGTGTTTCATTTCTGTGGCTTACTGACAACCTCATAAAAGGCCACTTGCTGCTCTGAAGAAAGTGTCATGACTGCAGGTGAGAGAGCCCACGTTAGCTAACTCGTAAGGCACATGCCACTTAAGTGCGAGGGCGTTTCAGGGACACGTCCCCACTTCGGCCACCACATGACTCCTCTTGGCATATTTAGAAGTATCCTGGAATGGCAAACACGGCCTACCATCCCCACAGCTTCACGGCTGACCCCAGGCCCTGGGAGGTGCGGCGGTTCCCTGAAGCAGAGGGAGGTTAGACTCAAAGGTACAATGTCACCCAAGGCCTCATTATAAACCCGAGACACTTCCCATTCTGGCCTTCTCAAGGCAACAGTATTCTCCATGTGTCCGATGGCATTGCAGGCCCATGGGGATCCCCAGATCCATCTGTCCTCACCCCCTTCTTCCTGTCCCAGCAGAACTCTCAGTTGTCCACCCATGATGGGTGCCAGGCCCTCAAGCTGGCCCCATTGGCGCCCCGGCCTGATTCTGTCACCTGAAAACCTCAGTGTGCAACACTCACCACCTTGGCCTTTGGGTTTTTAAGCAGGGGCCCTAGGAGGGAGGCTGCTTGTCACCCCGCTGTGGCCCCTACCTAGCTCCTTGCATAGCTTCTGGATGCGGCTCGGAGGGTCCCCCTTCTGGTGTAAGCCGCCCACACTCCTGCTCCTCTGGAGTTCAGCCATCTCGCTGGTCGCCTTGACGTGTCCGGAGGCCACCCCCAAAGGAGGGGCCCCGGGGCCCAGCCGGTGCCTCCTCTGCACGGTGGTGGCATCCTTCTCCATCCTTCCCCTCTCTTCAGGTTGCAGGAAAGAAGAGGGACCCGGCTCTCAGGCACACCCTCAGACAGAGGGCATGGTTTCCAACCTCTCTTGCAACGAGCAGCCCAAGAGTGTACCCGAGGGGCCTCCCGTTGCTAAGTGTCCCCTGTGACATCACTGCAAAGTCAGAGGTCAGAGGTCAGCCCAGCACAGCCCTCCACGCAGGCTTCAGGTTTGGAGAGTGGGCTTTGCTGGGTTCCCTTCTTCTGGTCTGTCACCGGACTCTCCACTAGAGAAGGCAGAAGAGGGGCCAGGCAAACCAAGGGGCCCTCTCTGCGGACACCATGGGCACTTCTGGTGTTGTGTCTGCTTCAAGCCTTTGGATAATTTTCCATGCTTGAGAATCTTTTTTTTTTTTTCCCAAGGACAAAATTGGCACAGACCAAAGTTGGGAATATGGACCAAAGATGCAGAAATGGTTGTGGTGGGTGCTGCAGACATTTCATTGATGGTGACGTGGTATCTTTTCTCTGTACTCTGCATAAAAGATTCTCCATGCAACCTTCAGTTTCAGAAGGCAGGGCTGTCTGGGGACAGGCAGGTTTGCACTGCACTGACAAAAATACCTTTCATGCATTTTCAGTCTGTATTAGGTTGCTGGTACTGCCATAACAAAGTATCGTAGCCTGGGGGGCTTAAACAAGAGATATTTACTTTCTAGATCTGCAGGCAGGAAGTCTGAGATCAGGGTGTTGGCAGGGTTGGCTCCTCCTGAGGCCTCTCTTCTTGGCATATGGATGGCTGTCTTCTCCCTGAATCCTCACCTGGTTGACCCTCTGTGTGTTTGTGTACTAATCTCTTCTTATAAGGACACCAGTTACATGGAATTAGGGTTCACCCTAATGACTTCACATAACCTGAATTGCTTCTTTAAAGACCCTATCTCCAAATACAGTCTGAGGTACTGGGGGGTCAGGGCTTCGCCACATGAGTTTTTGGTGGGACCCAATTCAATCCATAACAGAGCCTAACAAAAAATTTCTGACATCCTATTCCAGCACACTTTTTTTTTTCTTCCAATCATCCAAGATCATGGGGAAAGAAAGCATAGTAGTTACTTCCCCTGAGCAACCAGCTTATTATACTTGGTGTGTCAGAAATATTCAGGATGAAGCAAAAGTGGCTCCCTAATTCCCCCTGCACTTCTGTTCCCTCAAACAAGCTTATAGCATCTTAGCTCATAGGAGGCCTCAGATCACCGAGCCAAGTGGCTGATGCAGAGACAGATGTGGTAGTGCCCACGTGCCCGAGTCATTGCTCAGAGGCACCCGCTGCAATCCAGAAGGCTCTGATCTTGGAGAGTCTGACTGATGAATGTCATGACAGTGGGACACTTAGGGACAGCTTTTTCTCTTCAGGTAACAGGATGTCTGAAGAAAGAGCAAGTGGACACTGATTGGGGTCTCCAAAAGCCAATCGTGATCTGTTACTGGGGGTTCTGGGAGAGCGGCTTCTGGTCCCCACCTCCCAGCATTGGGACCCTAATGGAGTCCTGGAGAGGGGATTCTGGTACCCATCTTCCCTAGGGTTTTATCTTTTTAGTCCTTCCATATTCTCCCATGGAGGCAGACCTTCTCCGCCCTCCTGATTCTCTCTGCTGGGCCTGGTCCTGTTTGTGAATCTGAGTCGTCCAGGCTCCTGGGAGTGGTCCTTCTGTGGATGCTCATGGGCTGACCAGTGTCCATGGCCTCTCAACTCATGAGCAGGCACTCTCCCCTTGGTACCCCTGAAGCTCCCAACCAGCCCACAGTTGCCTCCCTCCCAGAGAAGACAGTAGAAACCAGAGAGAAGCAGCCTTCCCAGAGAAGGAGGCTGACAACCATCGACCGAAGTCCTGCAGCTGCAACACCCCTAAGAAACATCTGATTCTTCTCAGAACAACTGATTCGGATTGAAATTTCTTGAAAAAACCAAGTGAAAGCCAGATGGAGACAAGAAGGAAATGAGAAGACGTATTCTTGCCCCTGGAGGTGGGGTCTCTCCCCAGAGTCCCCATTGTGCATCTAGCTCCTCTCTCTCCACCCCTCTGGGAGAGACAAGGCTCTGCTCAATGATACTCGAGGTTCATCACCCTCTCATTCCTCCTCTTTTGGGAGGTGAGCCTGTCTGGTCCTCAAGCTTGTGGCCCACTGCTTCATTCTCAGAGACAGTAGCATCTGATGGAACCTACCTTTCCTACCCTCCTCGAGCTGGACCCCCATCTCCTCCTACACTGCCAGTTCCCAGCAGGACACCTTCCAGCAGCCCTCATGGTGCCCAGCTCTGCACATTTCCATCCAAGAGCATCATGGTTTCCAACTAACCCAAAGCCCCACAACTGGACCTCACTTGTCAGAGGGACCTCACCTGTCATTCGGGGGTCCTCACCTGTCATTGGAAGGCCCTCACCTGTCATCACAGGTACATCATCCAGCTCCCCACCTTTCCCACCTTCCCCAGCTCCCCATCTCCCATGTGTGCGATTATCAGTGGGCACTCCTGGGAAACTAAGCCATCCAACAGAAAGAATAAAATGTCTGTTTTAATTGGCCAGTAAAATACATCACAAATCATTAGTATCTTATAAACAGAAACATTAAGTTACAAATCCATGTTAAAAATTGCAGTCCGGTGCAGCCTAATAGCTGTGTGTCCCAAAGTTTATTTTCTGCAACATTTTTCTCCACCCTTTTTGTGACAAGTAATGCTACTATCTGCCATCTAGATTAATGAGTCTGAAGGACAACACTTGCAAACAAGAACAGAGATGGGCACAAGGGCACATGGTCCTGCGTGTTTCAACAGTGCTTTCCAAAGCCAGTGCCCGTAGCTGTGAGGACTGTGGGAAAACTCAGCAAACAGCTCCTCCTGAGTTAGCCTCCCCGCCCCCTCCCCCCACCCCAACAGAAAATAGCCCAGCCACTGCCCTGATAGCTTCTAAGGGCTTCACAGAAACACAGCACATGCAATACTGCTCCTGGGGCCCAGGAGGCGTCTGCACAGCTGAGCACCTCCCATTTCGAGCTCAGGACTTCTTCCCTTCCTTTGTCATCTTTGGAGGACCTGTAACTGGCTTCCATGCAATGCAACCCATTCCCTTTTTTGTCCTACTGTGGCACCCTTCCCTTTAATAAGTCCAAGTTTGAATGTTCTGAGTTACTTTATATCAAAGAGCTAATTAAAAACGTTAAGAAAAACAGCTTGAAAATAATACACGTTTCTATTTTTAAAATCTTCTCCAAACTTCCACAAGGGGTGGCAAATGTGGACTCTACTTTTACACCCCACTGGCAGCAAAACAACACAATGTGTGCTTAAAGTGGGGGCTGGGCGGACGCCCAGCTCGGCCTGTCACCAGCTCCAGGGACTTCTGCAGACTGCGGGCGAGTCTCAGCAGTCAGCAAGGCTGGGACTCTAACCTCTGGGAGGGGAATCTGGAACACCACTCCCCAATAGGAATTCTCTGCAGAAAGACCTCGTACTCCCAAAGTATCAAGAGCATCCTCAAATTGAGATCTCCGTGCAGTTCTGCACATCCTGGCCACAAAACTGACCCTCCAGCCATGAACAACACCAACATCAAAAGCTGAAACCAAGAGGTCACCTGCCCATGGCCACTGGGACAGCAGGCTTGTAGGAAAAGCGTAATGCTCATAATGTCCCAGCTGTGCTGAAGCAGAATGTTAAGAGTGCCAGACGGCTCCACGGTGCAGACATCGAAGAGACCAGCAGAGGCAGTAGTGCACACGAGACAGAAGCGCACGCTCTGCAAAGGACAAGGCCCCGCCAGCGCCTCGGTCCAGAAAGGCCAGCTCAGACAGAGCACCTGCCCATCAGCGTGACTAAAGTGCATGGCAACCACGAAAACGGCTCCTAGAGAGTCTCGGAAGTTCCATGAGCTTGATGCTTGTCATCTAAGCGAGCGGATAAAGTGAATCCCGTTGCTTGCTCGCTCTGCCTTCTTTCTCTCCCTTCTCTTTCCCAAAGACTGTGGCTTTCCTGGTGCAGCTCAGGGCGCCATCCTAGGATGGGACGTACTGCAGGCTCTAAATGGAATGGGTGGAGACCTCCGACTGCTGCCTGATGTAGCTTTGAAAACTCTTATCTCCAATGGGGTGTTCTCTGAAAAGGGGAAATGGGGAAGAGGAGAAAATGAGGCACAGCCCCCTCCAGCACCGGCGCTCACCTGCACTTTTTTTTAAGAGACTTTTTTCTATGTATGTATGTAATGCGTATTCTTTGTAATAAGTATGAAAAATACAGACAAGCAAAGGAAGAAGGAATTAGTCCAAAGTTGCCTGTGGAAGCACCCACTTTGACCCTGGTCAGTGTGTCGGTCATGTGCTCACAGTGAGTGTGTATGTAGAGCATGCGCTGCGCACCCACACACATGTGAAAACCGTGAGTTCCCGGAGGGCACGGTGCTGTCTGTTGAATGCCTGGTCCTCAGGGCTGTGCCTGCGTGTCGCCAGGCCTGTTAGCTCCTGAGCCCTCATACAGCTGCTGCCACAGGAAACAGGATCCAGCTTCACAGGCTGTTTTCAACCCATGGCTTTACCATGTTTAATGAAAGACAGCATTTTTAGGAGGTCAGTGGGGGCTCTCTTGATAGAGGCTGTTAAAAGGGATCTGAAATGGGCTGTGAATGTGGAGCCAGGACAGCCTCGTCTAGGAGCAAAGATGGGTCAGCGTCACCTGGTCAAAGTTGGCATCTCTCTCAGAGCCCCTTCGCTTCCCTTCTTAGATCAAACCCACATCTTCCCTGGAAGGAGGGGACGGAGCAGGGAGGAGGACTTGCCACCATGTGGGGCTGCCCCATCCAAGGGTGTGTGGGTGAATGGGCTCTACCACGGTGGTCCACGGGCTGGACAGGGAAAGTCTGGCAGTGACACTAATGGGGACAGCCCTTCAGGACCATTCTAGCCCTTTATGTAATTTAACCCGATGTTCCAACAGCTCTTGAGGTGCTCATTACCCTCCATTCTTAGAGCAGCAGGAAGGATGCAGCTTGGTTGACCTGCCTGTGGGCATAAGGCCATCAGGAAGTGAAAGGGACACAGGTGGCTTGGCTGAGTCTAAAATTTCTGCACTCCCACCCCTCTCTCACAAGAGGCAGATGGGGGCCAGTCCAGAGCTGGCTGAGAGAGAGAGTGAGTGAGCAAGGAAAAGGAGAGGAACTTCCTGGGGAAAGGGCCGCTGGCCCAGGAAAGCCTAATTGGGAAGTGAATGGGTTGGGGAGGCAGGAGGGCAGAGGAATAGGAGAGTAAAGAGGCCGGAGGGGAGGAGTGGGGAGAGGTGCTGCCCCCAGGACACTGCCCAGAGGGCCCTGGAGAGTGAAGTGATGACCTGCTTGGAAGGGGCCAGGAAGCCTGCTCAGCCCTGAGGCTGCACACAGTAGCTCTGGGTCAGCCCAGCACCCTACACCCCCTTGGAGCTCCCTGCAGCCTCTTCCCCGGCTCCCCACACCCTTGCAACTGGGGGTCATACTCACTGGCTCCCATACTTGGTCTTCTTGAACTTGTCCCTTTTGTACTGGGCATGCTCCTGCTCCAAGGCCCCAACCCCAGCGATGACCTGCTTCAGTGTCTTGTAGGTCTCCTGGGGGTCATCGATGATGAACGTCGAATACTCTTCCTGCTCGGGGCCATCGTACACAGATCTGCTCCCACAGGCCTCTGCAGTGTTAGGGACAGGGCTGGAGGTCAGTGTGAGTGGGAGTACACAGACAGGCTGCCCCTTGGACCTTCTCTGAAGCAGCCTCCTCAAGAAAGGGCTGACCACTCACAAGCAGATGCACCCAGAAATGGAAGCCACTCCCACGAGTCCAGCCAACACCGAGTGCCAGAGAAGCCTGTGGGGCTAGGAAGCCAGGGCCTAGGAACCGAGACTTCTGAGGGTCCAGCCCCGAGTGCCTGGGCCCCAGCCCATCTCTGACGAGCCCTTCTCCCAGGCAACCTGTGCCCGTCCACACCCCAGGGGTTCACGAAGCCACAAACAGCAGACATCTGCTCCTGTACACTAGGTCAGGCTGGCTTAAGACCTGTGGGGTCACACATGGTCAGTCTAGGAAGATGAGCTTGAGGACGTCACCTCTTGGCTAGTCTGTGCTAGCAGTTTCCTGGGACCTCTCTTACCTCTACCTGCTTGGGCCATTTCACTCTTGCTGAAGACCATGCTGTAGCCTTTAGTCATCCACAGGAAGCCCCCAAACACCTGAGCTGGCCCAGGCCCCCCCACCATCCCCAAACAACTGAGCTGGCCACCCCCCGCCACCGTCCCCAAACACTTGAGCTGGGCTCTACGCTCCACAGCCACAGAGAGGCCGAGTGGGAAGACGTGCACTTTGCAGGTGAGCCAGCATCAAGGGGGCTCCTTGCCCTCATCCATATGGCTAATTCATTATCACAGAACACGCTGGTGTCCTGTCCACTTTGCTGTCTTTACTTCCTAGTCAGGGGAAAACCCTCAATTCTTATGGAAAAGTCACAAGTCTGTGCAAATGAAAAGTGAGAAGATTTAAAATTCAAAGAAAAAGGGAATATGACATGAGAAAGATAAGGGATTCTAAGCATGAGGGACAACAGAGAGAAGAAGAGGAGGAGGAGAAGGGAGACGAGGCCAGGGGCCCCCAGAGCACGAGCGAGAGCTCGGCCTTTTCCCCTTTCAAGTGAAGCACAGGGTTATGGTCTCGGGAGCCAGGCTGCCTGCATTTCCTCCCCAAAGCCACCGCTTGTTGCAACTGCTTGGCTTTGGGCAAGTTACTTAAGCTCCAGAGCCTCAGTGAACCTTTCTAGGAAATGGGGGCATCAGCACCCCTGTGAGGCTCCTGGCCTGGGGCCCAGCACAAATGTGAGCTGCGGCTGCTACCGTCATAAAGATGGAAGGAGGGGATACCACAGGCAGGTCAAGAGAGCTAAGATCTGAATAAGCAAGTGTTTGTGAAACATGTTAAAGGGAACCGAAATAAAAAGATAACTCTCACTGCTGGGACAGTGCAGGGTTAGCAGAGAACAGGTTGACATCGTCACGGACGAGGGGGTCTGCGGCTTAGGTACAGAGCAGGCATCACCGAAGGCCCCGAGAGGAGGGACGAACGATGGTGATAGTGAGAAGGATAAAGATACAGGCAGCTAGGACCCAGCTCTTCCCAGCTCCAGGCGCTGTGCTCACTGCTTTGTGGGGGTTTATCTTACTCAATCCTTGGCTTAACCCCATGGGGTTGGTGCCACTGCTGTCCCGTTTCACAGACGAGGAAATCAGGGCTCGCCTGGTGTGTGACTTGCCCAGTTTATCTCACAGTGGATACCAAAGCTGGCTCTGTGATTCCCGAAAGCATCCCACCTCAGGGTACTGAAGATTGTGGTCTGTGAGAGTGGGGAGTGACCCAAGAGAGGCCCAGACGCTGGAGGAGGTCCGAGGGCTCACGGTGCGTGAGTGGCATTTAGTATTGAGAACATGACGGAGTCCATAAGCCACATATCGGATGCAAAAATTTCGAATGAATTATTAAACAGATTATGAGCTAAGCTCAGGAAGGAGAAAATGAAACTGGCATCAACTAGAACAGATCACAATAAGTTCACTGCATTTCTTCTTTAACAAGGTTTGTAAAACCAAGACCTAGGGAAACGCCAGAGTGTGTATGTGTTGATTTCAGCAAGGCGACTGGTACGCTCTTATAAAACAGCCTGGGAAACAGAATGAAGCACTACAGACTTGACAACTGGACAGTTAGTTAATCAGCTAGTCTACCTTGACCCTCCACGGTGTCAAGTACTGAATTTCCCCCCCAAAAGATGCTTAAGCTGCAGAAAGTTTTTCCCCAACAGTGCAAAACGATATCATTGAACATAGGCCGTAGAGACTCAGAGGGGTTTACAGGCATATCTCGGAGACACTGGGGGTTTAGTTCCAGACACCACAATAAAGCAAATATTGCAATAAAGCAAGTCATACAAATTTTTGGTTTCCCAGTGCATATAAGTTAAGTTTCACTATACTATTTATTGCCTATTAGGTATGCGTTAGCATTATGTCTAAAATAACAAAGTATGCACCTTAATTAAAATTATTTTATTGCTAAAAAATGCTAATCCTCATCTGAGCCTTCAGCAAGTCCTAATCTTGTGGCTGGTGGAGAGTCTCACCTTGATGTTGTTGAAAATGTAACATCCAGGAATTGCAATAAAGAGAAGCACAATAAAATGAGGTATGCCTGTACTTCCCTGAGTCATCTCTGCAGAGGGCTTCACGTGTCACCAGGACTCCGGCCAGGTGTCCCTAAAGCTGCCTATGATCTGTGTGACAGAGGCTGGATTACATCCTGTCCTTCCTCACCTTGCATCTTCTCCAGTTTGCTCATGTACAAGTTGAACAGGGAGTAGATGCGCTCCGTCTCTCGGTCCCCGTCGATGTCCAGCTGGATGTTTGCTGGGAGGCCGCTGCTCAAACACAGTGAGAAGAATGGAAAGCATAACGCTGTTATTCATGATACTGATTTTTTAAAAGATAACTAAAGACTAGAGAGTGATCTAACATTGCACTTATCCCTAACTGGAATTGGGGCATTTGTGTGAGGTTCACACGTGTTTAAAAGTGACTGTCCACAGTCTTGGAGGACTGGAAGTCTCTTAGTACCCACACATCTGCCAAGACAGCAAGCAAACAAGGCAGACTTGTTTTGCTGTGGAAAGAAATAACCTGGAATAAAAACAGCCCCGACAGATGCACGTGGGCCATTAGTCCTGAAGAGCTGGTTGGCTGCTCCAGGTGGGAATCGGTGGGTCCCCTCTCCTTCCTGCTCCGGCCCAAGGATGCGACTATGGGTCCTCCCCCTGACACAAGGCTCGGCCTCTCTGCGGGGATAGGATAGGGCTCGGTCACACAGACTCCTGGACATGACCCAGCAGCAATTTATCTTAAGTCAGCTCCTTCATCTGCAAAGCCGCATCTCCTCTTCTCATGTCTGCAAGCTCG